TCTCTCTCTCTCTCTCTCTCTCTCTCTCTCTCTCTCTCTCTCTCTCCCTCTCTCTCTCTCTTCTCTCTCTCTCTCTCTCTCTCTCTCTCTCTCTCTCTCTCTCTCTCTCTCTGTCTCGTGCTACGTGGCCTGCAATGGGATAAACGGCCAGCGGAGCAGCTTTCTCAGCTGGGTCTCAAACTTGTAATACGGAGGCGAGTTAGGAACAGTTTCTAACGGCTCTTCCAAATTTGTCGTCGGGCCTGGTAGCTGTCAACGATGCTTTGTCCGGCTTGCGTTGGCCTCGAGCCTGGCGGCTGACAGCCTGCAGCACAGTGGGAGGCTTGAAAGACATTGACAAGGAGGCGGCTGGAGATTCTTCCGAGCGCCTGCAACAGAAGAGCAAAGCGAGGGGAGTGGGCAAATCAGATGCCGCCCCAAGGCAGCATCAGAAGCTTCCTTTAGACCTTGCCTCTGGTGAGCCGATGAGCTGGTCAGGGTAGCATTGTTCTGATTCGAAGAAGCCCTCATTGGCTTAGGTCTATGCCATGGCTGGAGCCGAAGAGCGCTCAGCTGCTGAAGTGTACTTTTCTGGTAGGGCTCTGATCGACGTGAGTTGCCCGAGGTCTCTCTTCCCGACATACATGCAAAGAAGCACTGATGGCCTCTGGCCTCTGGCTGTAATTCAGTATTAGGGATTAGGCAGTCTTTTGCGCATGGGTTAGCATGGGCAATGTTCGCTGCTGCTTGACTTGCTGCAGCAAGAAGGGCGAGGTTCACCAAGAGCGTGCGAAACAGCTTTCAAGCCGCTGCGATTCTAGCAGGTAGATGTTTCACCTCATCCTCAGCAAGATTGACATGGGTTTCTATTTAACGAGCACATGACGGCTGGGTGGGGTTTTGGCAAGCCGTAGCAACGATAGTTTGTTGGACCTTCGTATGGGATCCCTGGCGATCGCCAGACATGCGTGGCTTTTTGACGACCGTGCCTGCTGCAAAGCATGCTTCGATGAGGCTGGCAGGCACAAGGGACATGCACTTGCAAAGCATGGTGGTGTTCCACACAAGCCCTGTGAATACGATCCTCGCCCCACAAAGTGGAGCCATTGACCGGATCTGCTCAAGCAGCATGTATCCGAGTTTCACCAATATAGATAATCGTGACCACTGCTCCTGGCCGTGCTCATGAACTGCAAACCTCAATGTCAACACATGCAAGACAACAGCTCGGTTTGGCCTTCGCCCAACAAGACTTCCGCTGTTTCCGGAAGCTCGTGAGCTCGGACACGCCAGAAGCTTGCGCTTCATAGCGCTTGTGAAGGAAGATGCTTCTGTTGCCCCGCCAGTGCACCTCACCGCCCCTGACTTGGCCGCCTGTGGAATTCCCCCCCTGCAGGGAAGTCAACGAGTCCAACTTGGTCGTGTGCATTGACATTTGCGACCGTGCGCATCTCAACACACACAGGCTTCTGAACTTTGACTTCTTGTGTGCGTATCTGCTCCATGAACATCGCGCAAATTACCAGCCGCCCTTGGACCTGTGATGCAGGACACTGCAGCCTAGAGTTTAATTGGACATGGGTTGGTTGGCCGCGGCCTGCAAACGCTACAGCTTCTGACGTGGATTTTCTTATAGTTGCTCGTATCGAGGTAAATGTTGCTGGAGTGCCGTTGCATCGTGCCTGTGCCGACTAGGTGATGCCATCAGCGGTACAGACAGCTTCATGTGCCGCGGCTTGGCTGAAGAGGGGCGTTCTTTTTTCGCAACGGCCAGTTCAATTACTTGTAGCCCATGTTGAAGCAGCACTGGCAGGTGGTCAGGTGCCCCTCCGTTCTGCCTGGGAGGCAGGAAGCTTCCTGGTCCAGGGCATTCGTGTTGCCGGTACCCGCCCAGGCCGCCACCAAGGGCCGCAGCGTGGTGTCGCCCCAATGGGTGAATATGACGCGGGAGCCCAACACGCTGTTGCCGCGTCACGTGGAGTGCGACCCTTGTCCTAGGCCGTCTGCTGGAGGCCGCTTGCAGGTGGGTTTTTCTACCAGCCCTGCGAAGGACCCTCGCACAGATGCTTCGCCGGTCGCTGCAGCGAGAACATGAGAGAACCAGAATAGACTATACCAGACTTGTCGCCCTGGCTCATATAGGTCCTATCTCCGCCTTCCTGAGGAGACACTGTATGGCCGTTTGACAAACACCCGCCGTGTGAGTTTGCTTCCCAGGTGGTCACGTCAACGAGTCACGCCAAACAGCAAGCAGAACAATTTTAAAGCGAGAACGTCACCGGAGGGAGGGGCAGACAGCACAGGGCGTGGAACAGACATCCGAGCAGGATCAACTTATCGTCCACATCATGGGGGCAGAGAAGCTTCCTGGACGCTTTGCGCCTAGTGCAGAGCATCGTGGGATAGAGACTTCGTGCATCTTCACTTTTGAGGTGCGACCTCCGGCCTCGCAGACCCGTCAGAGCCATAGCTACTCCCACCCACACAGAGCGATTGTCGGCTATTGCTCAGGTTTTGCCTCGTCCGTTTGGCTTTCATGGGCCAGCTTGGCGAGCCTACAGACCAGGCAAGACAAGAGTCTTCTTCAGGTTTGCGCGATTGACGAGAGGGCGCCCGAATGAAGCGCGCGGGGAGTTACCGCGAGCAAAACAGAGGCGTCGGTAAACTTGCCGTTTGCCCGTGTCTAAGGGCATGAGCTGCCAGTTTATGTGCCGGCTTCCATTAAGCCATGCTGCGGTTTCATTTGCCAAGGTGACCACACCTGCGGGAGAGCTGAGAGACGGTACAGAGACCCTGTTCTTCCAGCACCAGGACATGGCCATCTTGTGTTGAGGGCAGCACAAGCAGACACATTCGTTGGGGCTAGCCGCATTCGAGGAAGTACTGGAACTGCCTGGTGTGCGTGTCTCAGATAGCTCCCCTCCCTTCATCTAGTATCGTTTGAATGGTGAAGCACGCGCATGCCATGCCTTGTGTCAGTTGCGAAGACACTCACAAGGCAGTAGCCAGGTGCAGTGTGTCATGAGTGGATCCGTTTATCTCAGCTTGACGACTTCGCCACCACGTCTCCGTGCCAGCGTTTAATACTACCCAGTTAGGAGTGCCCCAGGCACTGTCGGAAGGCATGGTTGCAGCGGGACACCCAGACTGCTTTCTGGCTGCCTTTTCAGGCTGAGGGTTTGTCCTAAGCGTATTATGTGGGAGAGCAGCTTTACGACTGCGCTTCAAGAGCTATGCCGTCTAGGACCGAACAGCGTGGTTTATCAGGCTGCGACTCATCAGTAGACATCAGTGGCCCAGCTTAACAGATGCCGGATGGACGTACATTTTAGCAAACAAGTTCACGGCTGCAAAGCACATGCATTGCACGTCCCGTCTGCTCATATTTGCTCCTGCCCGACTGGGCCATGGCACGGCCTGGCACCATGAAGCGGCATCAGACTTTTCGGCGGCAGATTGCTCTGGCTGGCTGCTTGCTGGGTGCGGGCGCGGCGAGCAGCTGCTTCTGCAACACGAGCCGGTCGTCTCAGATGCAGAGCAAGATCACCCGGCAAGGTGCCAAAGAAACCATGGAGTCGTTCTATTCAGCCGTGAACAACCGGGACCTTGAGAGGGCCATGGAGATGGTGGACGACGATGCCACTTACGAAGACTTTACGTTTCAGGAGCCTTTCAAGGGCAAGGAAGGAGTGCGAGAGCTGCTCGAAGATGCCATGGAGTTGCCGAAAGGCCTTGATTTTGTCATCGATGAGACGGCCGGTGGAGAATCCTGGAGTGGAGATGATTCTGTTGGCATGACGTGGCACGTAGAGTTTGATGGTGTTCCTTTGCCAAACAGTCGCGGGGCTTCGCTTTACAAAACGCGGGGTGGCAAACTGTTCTACGCCCGCAACTTGCCCAAAAAGCGTTTTTTTTTTTTGTCTAGCTGGGGTTGGGGTTCGTAGATGTTCGCAGATGCCCCAGACGCACACAGGTGATATCGTGGAGTCACCACTGAAACTGGGTGGTGCAGCGCTTGGTATCGTGAGCTTCATTGCTCCCATCATAAGGCCTGCATGAATGGGTGAATCGTTTGCGCATACATACTCCTTTACTGCATGACGATCCTCAACAACCGTAGCTGTCGTGTTGATTGCATTCTGCCCCGGTTCTTGTCAAAAGATAGTGGGGACATGATTTCCGCGGCCACAAATCCGGTTTGTCATAGAGAAATGCCAGAAGCAAGAATTTGCCAGGGCTTTGCAGCGTGGCTCCTTGGGAGATCTCGCCCCAGCACTGGCATTTGCGACAGCTGGAGCCATCTATTGGCGACGGGGCTTGATTTCATGCCCGTGAAAGCGTGAGAACCTCCAGCGCAACCCCTGACAGCTTCGGATCACAGGGTCTCATGATGTAGGCGACAATGCACACGATTGCCCTGCAGTTAAAGCAGCACTTTGAAATTGACCCTCGCCTGTGAGAAAGAGTGAAGCCGCCACACACAACCCAGCAGCAATGCATCGGCACATCCAGCGAGACTATAATGATTGGAAGCAGCTACTCGCTACTTTGCGATGAGCGGGGCAATCAGTGCCACGAGCTTGTATGGAGAAGCAGTCAACGAGGGAAGCAAAGACAGACCAATCGCCTAGAACAGTGCCCCATCATGTCATGTGCTGAGGTGCAGTAGTCAGTGTTTTATTTTAAACAGAAAGCGTCGTACCCTCAGGGCCCCATTTTGTGGACTTCGTAAAGAAAGCTTACTTTCCGACATCTATTGGTTAAGGACGATGTCGTTATTAAAGTTCTCTGAGCTAGTTGATGATACAAATCCTGCATTACCCATAACAAGGAATATGCCGTAGACCCACAGTTTAGGGTCCTTTCGGTGATGGGGAGTAGAGGATTCTGTAACAGGGTAAAGGAGCGGGAGCAGCAGAGCAAAAACAAAAACAACTAATTAAAATATAGCTATAAAGTTTCTCCTTTTTTGGCCTCGCCACTCTCGCTCCATGGCGTAGTCTTCTATGTATGCCTCGACCCAATAGGGTCCAACCCCCACCCTCCCCCCTACCCCCGCGGAGGCCAGGGAACTAGAGCTCTCTGTGCGTGGGACTAGGCCTGTGGACCAGACTTGAGAGTCTCCGAAGTGTCGGAGTGCATTTTTTTATTTATTTTTTTGGGCTTGGGAACAGACCCACGCACAAACCCATATTCATAACAAAAAAGGATGCACGCAAGTCTTCACCTATTTCATTCACAACCCTAGCAGACATGTCAATATTGTAACATGGAAAGTTGCATAAAATATATAGTCTTCTACCTACTCCAGATGCATATCTAGCCTACATATGTGTCGATGTGTATGTGGAACAGTTTGTGCATATGTATATATATATATACACATACCGCATCTCAACGTATGTGCACTCAAGGCACACGAGGTTGTATGTGTAGTCTTTTGCCATGTGTGTATATATATATATGTCAATTAATTTATTTTGGTAACATGTGTATGTCTAGTGCTGTTCTGTCTTTATGCAAACCCCAGGCCTGTATGCTTGGATTGGATGCATTCATACGTATGTATACTTGCGTGTGAGTGATAATGTCGGCGTAGACGCAGTTATATATGTTATGTTTCGAACTGGAAAAATATATAGAAAATCTGGAATACAGTCATATCCATGCATAGATATACTGGCCGGCCAGCCACCAAATAAATGCATAAGCATCTGAACCTCTGTCAGCCCGTCCAGGGTTCGGAACATTCGTTTTTTCTTGGTTTTTGAGTGATAGCCGGGAATCTATATTCCCACCTGGGAAGAGGGGCGCCCCAAAAAATGCGCAAACCCGAACGCTGAATGGTAGGTGACTAACCCATTCGTTTAGAGGAATATGATCCAAACCTCGAAAGGGATGATGGGCGGCATATCCCAAATCCTGCGAGGGATGACTCTGTCTCCCAAAACCACAGCCTGAACAGGGCATAACTACGAAGAGTGCCTTCATCCTCAGGGCTAGAGATGATGGGTTCCAAAAGCCACAAACCTCGGCACAACCCAGACAATAAAGAAAGTAAGTGGTTCGCAAGACTGGTTCAA